AAAACCAAGGGTAAAATAGTCGTTTTCATCATTCAGACGGTTATTCAGCACAACAACCGAACAACAACTTACTTGTTAACATACAGACAACTTTATCTATATAGACAGCTTTATCCATACAGGTCTTAACAGAAAATGAACCGAACAGCCCCTTAGACTCCTTAGGCATAAGAACTAAAAACCATGTACATGATCGAAAATGCCTATACCATGATCGGTAGAGGTTTGATAAAATGTATAGAAAAGAAGGAAAAGCATGGCGGTGAAAAAGGAAGGGAAAAAAACTGGAAATTTTTTTTTTAAAAAAATACATGAATGAATGGAGACCAATCATGAGAATACAATTGTCTCCTTAGGCTACTAAGTAAAATAAGAGCTCAGAGGTTGAGAAATTTTATGATTGCTTTGGTGTGCAAGATGTGGGAGTATACGCCTCGATTTTTAGTTTCTTTTCCAAAGTCCAATTTTAGTCACTTTACCAAATTTTCCTTACCTTGACCCTTAGCCAAGTTACAACCCTTAACTAAAGACCTTTTGATTCACACTTAGTGTTTATTGGTTAGCAATGGAGAATTGAGACTTGATGCAAGCCTATGGTAGTGCATTTTATATGTTGATTGATGCTCTAAGTGAAAACACTTGCACCTTTGTGTGAATGAGCGGTTAGAGTAGGTTTATATCCCCTGTGAGGTGTTTGTGAAATTAACAAGTGTTCATCTTTGGTTTGTCTTATGTGTTAATTATTGTTATACTGGTTAAACTACCCTTCGTGCAATGCTATGTCTCTTTTTCAACTCTTAGAAGTCAATAGCTACAATCTTAGTGTTTGCCCGAGGACGGTCAAAATCCTAAGTGTGGGGATATTTTGATAACTAAGAATTTTCAAGTTTTAATAATCTTTAGTAGACTTAAAATCACCATTTTTTTGTTGTTTTATCCCTAAAATATATTTGTTTGAGTCCCTTATTGTAACACCCCCAAAGCCCAAAGCAACGAACTAGCCTAATAACTTCGAATCCAACTTAAAACCATGGTGGAAGTTATTGGTAGCCCATTACTTGGGACTTATAAGGAGCTAACAATTCTCACTTTCTATCTATGTGGGACAGTTGTAACAAACTCTCCCACTTAAACTCCTGACGTCCTCGTCAGGCTGACGTCCTCGTCAGGCTGACGTCAGGCTTATCCAGAATCTTCCTCCTTGTCATCGATAATGTGGGATTTGCCTAAGATGTTACAAACACCCCCTCTTGAGGACTCATCATACCCGATGAAGTTTGCCCCACCATCCCGATGGTAGAAGGATCGGCTCTAATACCATTTGTAACACCCCCAAAGCCCAAAGCAACGAACTAGGCTAATAACTTCGAATCCAACTTAAAACCATGATGGAAGTTATTGGTAGCCCACTACTTGAGACTTATAAGGAGTTAACAATTCTCACATTCTATCAATGTGGGACAAGTTGTTACACTTATTATCTTTATTGTTGAATAAGAATGAAAGGGGCTTAAAATTGAAGAAATTGGGCGACTTAAGTCGCGCAAAAAGTCTTCCAACTCACTGTTGAACATAGTTTCTCAAATAACTGCAAGATGAAGCATACTTTCTCAATATCTGAAGAAAGCAGGCATATTACAAATGATGATTGGGCATATTTACTCAAGAGAGAAAGGACCTAGGCATAGTTTTGAAATGGCGAACTTCATAAGCAAACGTTTTTAAAGGACGTGTTATTTAGTGGGGGAGTCGGTTTTTAAAAGTTTTTAGGGTATTTTTTAAGAAAGAAAAGGGGAGAACGGCCATTCGGAAGGGGACGACTTTGAGAACGAATTGGAGAGAGCGAAGGGAGCGATTGGAAGCATCAAGCATCGATTTCTACTTCATTTTGGTAATTTCTCTTAAGTTGCAAGTCCTAGTTTAGCTATGTGTGGCTAAATATTATCATTCCAACATTAGTTTACTTAGATTTTGATGGTTTGTACTTTGAGATTCCATTGTAATCGTTTGGGACAAGCTTAATTGCTTGATTTTTGTTTTTAGTGTTAACTTCTTTTGAATGTTCAATTAGTGTGATCAATTGATTGAAGCTCTTATGTAAAATTGTTATTCAATGGCTTAGATATGTAAATATCTTGGAACTTTGAGATAAAGTAACAGTTGATTTCATTTGGTCTTGATAAGGTTTCTGAATTGAAGTCTTGAAATCTTGCAGGATAAGCCGAGCTTACGAACTTATGGTTTTGAGTTGGTGTTTTTCTAGTCAGATAAAGATAATCACACCTGGGAATTTGAGAGTTTATTCAAATTCCCATTTATAATTAAGATCTGGTTAAAAAGCTTATTTCAACCGGTGTAAATTTACAGAAAAATAGAAGTCGTTAAAGCTTGATAATGACTATAATCAACTTGGATATGTTCTTTATGCTTACGTTATTGGAATCAATGATAGGTATGAACATCTTAATTGTAAGCAAACTGATGTTGGGTTTTAAATTCATCGTTTTCAATTAGTTTTTAATCGCATGTTTAGTCTAGTTAATCAAATCCAACCCCCTCCCCCTTCGTTTACCTTCATTAATCGTTCTTGTACTTGAATTCTTTGGCAATAATGCATTACTAGAAAACTGGGCATTTCCGGCGCTTTTTCCAGCGGACGGTTTCCGCCGGTAATTTTCCAGCGGATTTCCATGTGACTTCAAAAAAGTCAACTTTTATTGACTTCCGCCGGAAATATTAAACTGATTGTATTTCCGGCGGAATTCTTAATTAAGGGTTAATTAATTTTTTAAAATTAATTAATCTTTGAAATTAAAAACCGGTTTTGACATTTTCCGGCGGATTTCTGGCAGAAAAATAATAATTTTTTTAAAAAAATAAATTCGCCGGAAATCCCCGGAAATATTTTTAGAAAAATCATTTTTAAAAATTAAAAAATAAATCTTTTAAACCTTTTCCGGCGGAAAATAAAAAAAAATTTAAAAATAAATCCGCCGGAAATCTTTTAACCTTTTTCCGGCGGATTTCCGGCTGAAAAATAATTAAAAAAATTTAAAAATAAAGAAAAATCATTTTTAAAAATTAAATCATTTAACCGTATTGGATTTTAACGGATGTCAGTTGCGCTTTAACAGTTTTATTGGGCTTTAATGGGCGTTAGTTGGGTTTTACTGGATCGAATTGGGCTTTAATTAATGGATCATATTGGTCTTGAATCGGTTTTATTAGGCTTTAATGGGCGTTAGTTGGGCTTTATTGGATCGTATTGGGCTTTAATTAATGCCGCCGGAAAAAGTGGCTGCTTTGGTAGTGATAACTTAAAACCGAGTCCCTACGGCTTCGACCCAACTTACCGCTATTACAATTTTGGGTGTAATCGGCCAATAGTTGGAACTTATTATTTGGTGGACTGGCATCTATCACGACATAATTCTAGATCCAGCTTAATTCGATTAAGAAATACAGAGATTTTGCCTTCATGATCATGACCCTTGTTTTTTGTGATTATATTAAAACTTATTTATATAGATTTCTTGATCTGGTTAACTTGTATAGATGAGAGGTTGAACTAACAAGCGTCAGCTTTTCCTACCAACTAATCAACAAATCTTTCCTTTTTGTTCAATCTAGTTCATATAAATCAACATCCAGATATAGCACATCAATTCATAGGTTTATCAAAAACTAGCCTAATCACCTTCATCAGCTGTCACTATGCTAACACATAAATACCCTTCATTTGTTCTACCATTGTTGATCATCACCTTGACATCAATGAAGAGCACCATCATTGTAGCAGATGCAAGAAACCTTCTAGAGATAAACTTTCCGGATCTTCCTAAGCCCGAACTTCCTGATCTACCAGAAATTCTGAAACCTGATCTAGAACTGCCTGACTTACCTGAGCTTCTGAAACCAGAACTACCTGAGATCCCTATGCCTAAACTGCCCCATTTGCCATCCGTGGAAGTGCCGGAATTATCTGATTTGCCAATTCCAAAGTTTCCAGATCTGCCCAATGACTTCCCTATTCCATCGGAAAAACCATGAATTGTGAAGCTGCCTCTCAATTTGAACTTCTGCCAGTAGTGCTGTCTGGTTCTATACCTTTTAAGCCATTTTCGGTAGTATCTTATCGTGTAATAATCTGACGGTGAAACTCCTTTTATTTATGTACTTGAAATGTTTCCATAGCTGATATCTTAAATCATAGTTATGTACTTAATTACGTATCAATTACTTTATGTATCTGATGTGGTTTTATGAACAATGTCATCTAATGTGTCACCTTGTTTTACGTTGTATAGAGAAAGCTCACCGATAACTACTTTATGCCTTGAAATTGTCCGAGGACCGGATAACTGCATGAACTGACTGCTTTTGTTGCTTTTTTAGAAAATGAACAATCTTTTGATACCAAAAATGGAACTTCTCACGATCCAAGTTGAAAGTACAAATCTAATCTCCTCTTCTAGAAACACTTTTTTATAAATTAAAATTGGAAACTGCAGAATATTTTGAAGAAACCGACATCAAGAACTGAGACATCAAGAAAAATTTAAACAACCTTGTTTGACAATATTAGAACTAGACAAATCCCCACATATGACGAGCATAAACGGTCCAAAGCATCATTTTAGTGAATATTAATGAGTCAACTCCGAGAAGATACTTACGAAAGTGGCCGGCTTCGTTACATATTTAAAGATTATGTAAAAAGCCTGTTTCTAAAATCTTTGATCAAGACGAGACAGATAGTCTCTTGGATATAACGTCTTGTTTACTATATATAGAAGCACTTCAACAAAACTAGAAAGTACCAACCAGGATGATGAAAGTAATAGCAGTATTTTGCTTTTTGGCCTTGTTTGGTTCAAGCAACGCCGATATTCAGGCAAACAAGCTTTTCGAGTTGCTAAAAACAAAAAAATCTAGAAACTCACCTGTTCTTGATACATGGTCAGGTTTAGATGATGCTATTGATGAGTACTCTCCCATTTACGTTGGTGCTCAGGAGGGACTAGCACAGCTTGACAAGATCACTACATTGCCAGGCCAACCAGCAGGTGTTGATTTTAATCAGTATTCGGGATATGTTACAGTCAATCCAAGTGCTGGCAGGGCTCTCTTCTATTATTTTGTTGAGTCTCCCACCGATTCTTCAACCAAGCCATTGGTTTTGTGGCTAAACGGAGGTACTTTTGCACTTTAATGTTTATTTATTGTGTCCTTATCCAAGTAGCAAACAAGCATATTTGGTCACAATCCTTTACAACTTGACTTGAAACCGCAAGATGCTTCTAGCTGGATCCAGACTAGAAATAACAGCAGTAGTTGAATCAAGTACGGACATTTTCCAACTTTGATTCTGCAGATTTGTTAAATATATTCAATTGTTGTCATTCAACAGGACCAGGATGTTCTTCAATGATCGGAGCCATGTCAGAACTAGGACCATTTAGAATAAACAGTGATGGGAAAACTCTCTTCAGAAATAACTATGCATGGACCAACGGTTAGATATTAAATTCAACCTTTTTACTCTCTAGCCTTTACATGTAGATGATAAACACAAAAAACGCAATGTGCAGTTGCAAATATGCTGTTTCTGGAGTCCCCGGCGGGAGTTGGCTTCTCATATTCGAACACAACTTCTGATTATGACAATGCTGGCGACAAGAACACTGCGGATGATGCTTACATTTTTATTGTTAACTGGCTCGAGAGATTTCCTCAGTACAAAACTCGTGATTTTTACATTACTGGAGAAAGCTACGCCGGACATTATGTACCTCAACTTGCTTATACCATCCTTCTTAACAACAAGAAAACAAACCAGACTATCATCAATATCAAAGGGATTGCTGTAAGTTCTATCACTTCATTAATTTACACTTTGTAAACATAAGAAAATAGTCCGATTCTCGAACCAGATTCACAACTTTCTAGTGTCTATGATTCTGTTTACCCGTGAAAATTAATCTTGGCATAAAATCTGCAGATAGGAAATGCGTGGATCGATGATGAAACAAGTGAGAAAGGTATGTATGATTATTGGTGGAGTCATGCTATAAATTCAGATGCGACTCATGATGCCATTTACAAATACTGCAACTTTGTGAACGATTCTTCAACTGGCATGTGCCAAGATAGTACCGACAAAGCATGGGATGAGATGGGAAATATCGATATATACAATATTTATGCGCCGATTTGCTTGAACCCTGATCAAAGAAATGCCTCTGGAACTGGTTCCGTAAGTCTTCTATACACATTCCATCACCTATATAGTAACTAGAACCTCGAAATCATCGTCGTTTCTTTCGTTATCTTTCAGATTAATGTTTTTGATCCATGCTGGCAATATCTCCTTATATCCTATCTCAATGACTCCAGTGTGCAAGAGGCATTTCACGTAAGACCTACATCATGGGATGTATGCAGGTACCCCAAGACCAGTCTCAGAGACTAATATGGACCTCCTTCTGATTAGCTATTAACTTGTTAATTAAAAACTGTTGAATATAATGTGTGCAGTGATGTTCTCACACGATGGAATGACAGTGCGGTTACCATCCTGCCCATAATAAAGTATCTGATTGCAAACGGCCAACGACTATGGGTTTTCAGGCAAGCATTCAACTTAAAATTACATTACATAGAAATCTGAAATGGAAGCATTATAGACACTTAGAGACTAGATTTCTAAAGTTCTGTATATGGAAGTGCAAAGTGAGTAGTTCGTGATCAGTCGTTTCTTGAATTGCAGTGGGGATACAGATGCTCGGGTTCCGATTACTTCTTCTAGGTACTCAATCAACACCCTCAATCTCCCGATCGAGACTGCTTGGCGGCCATGGTACCTCAACAAGGAGGTGATCGCTGAACTTTCTTCATTCACATTACTTTTCTAACCCAAAAAAAGTATTATGCAATGTGAAAGTCAATTGCCAAAATATGTTTCTAAATGAATACTTGTTCGACTACTAACATTAAATCATGTTAACAGGTTGGAGGGTATTTGGAGGCATACAAAGGACTGCTTCTGATAACCGTTAGGGGTGCAGGCCATACAGTCCCAAGCTACCAGCCGCAGCGAGCATTGGCCTTGTTCTCGTCGTTCCTTGGAGGGACACTCCCTCCTCCCTCTTAAACGCATGTCTGATTTTGCAGTTTCCAAAGTTCGCTTAATTATTTGATAAACAAGTTCGAGTGATACTCGAATGTTGAACAATTGGTGTCAGCATGACCCAATTTGTTCCTAGTATCCTATGTATTTCTAACTTCCATTGAAGAATGAGTGTGTTTTTACATTTTCACAAAACGATAGTTACTACAACAAAACAAAACATCAAACACAATCGTTCAATAAGTCAATGACTCACATAAAAATGTTTTAAATGATTTTGGAAAACAACATTCTTACAAATTACCTAGTCAATCATGGTCCAATTAGGAATATTTACTAATCGAAGTTCAGTTGAAAGAATCGAATCGGGTTTAGGAGATGAAAAAAATGAAAACTATTGAGAAGACCTTATGTAAAAAAATTGTGTAATTGCACCCATAAAAATCTTTATGTTTCAAAATAGAATTGTATTCCAAGTCATGAACATCGATCAACGTCAACTAGATGCATGTTATATTTGTTAGGTGACGGATGCCGAGACCACTAAATAATAAGTTTCAATTACTAGCCAATTACAACCGAGATTGTAACCAAAATGTCTTTGCCCTAACTGTATGTGAGTCTTTGGCCGCCTCCTAGGAAGGAAAGGTTGAAACCTCACCAAAGGTGAGGAGGGTGTGTGAGTTTATTTGTTCTATTTGCCGTATATAAATACTATATATTTCAAAATAAAAGATTGTAATAGAGGTTAGTCGGGTCGAAATTCGAATCCACAGAGACTCACGGGTTTTAGCGTATTATGGCCAATGAATTCAAATGCTAGAACAGACAATTAAAAGTAAATACGAAGGACGGTTTGTATTTCATTAACTAAACTAAGCATGCAATTAAAATGGATTAGAAAATCAATGCATTAAAAACCCTACAATGATTCGCTCTTGATTTAAGTGCAAATGCTTATCATTGACTAATTCCTGAAATGTAAATAGCAAAACAAAATCCAAATTGGCTATGAATAATCAACAAGCTCTGATAACCTAGATTTTCTCTTAGATAAGCATTGATTAAAACAAGTTCTTTAATCAAATCTTAACCTCAAGTAGAATTTGAACAAGCTCTCAAATTCCCAGGTGTGAGTAGCATTAAAGAGTTAGAAAAATCGCCAACACGAAGCAATAAGCATACAAGCTCGACTTATTGGAGCTTCAATTGTAAGAATTCAAGAAATCGAATTGAAAACATTATTGAGACCAAACCTTTCATTTGTCACTTCATCAAAATCCCTACACAATTATGGATCTTAGGGATTCAAATAACAAACATTCATAAGTCAACTTAATTAATGATTCAAATGAAATTGACATTAAAACGAAATTCAAGCAAATAGACTTGTTCCACAAGATTACAATAAAATCTCTAAGAAAATGCTCATAATCTAAACAAAAACTGTTGTGGAACGGAAAAACTTAGCCACACATCACTAAATTGATATTACAAACCACAAGGAGGAATAAAAATCCCCTTGTGGCCACGGAGGTTCAAATGCGGTGACTCCAGGCTATCTGCAAAGCAGGTGGTCGTCCTGAGATTAGTCAGCTCGCATAGCGGGTTGGATATCCAGGTTAACAAAAAAAATTGATATTACAACTAAAAATGGGAAAGAAGTTACCAAAAGTGAAAGGAAATTGATGAAGAACGCTTCCAATCGACCATTCGCTCTCTCCAATTCGTTCCAGAAGTTGCATCCTTAGAATGGTGTTTTCACCCTTATAAACCCCTAAAAACTCTTAAAAAAACGCCTCCCCACTAATTAATACGTTATTTGAAACGTATGTTTCTAATTATTGCTATTTGAAAGTATGCTTGGGTCCTTCCTCTTTTGTATAACTATGCTCAGTCATCACTTGCGAAAATATGTCTGCATGGCTTCAATTTTGAGAAATATGCCTCATGATCATTTGAAATTCTATGCTTCATAGAGAATAGGGCCACTTTTCCCCGACTTAAGTCGCTCTAGAGGGCACGGGAGCCTTATTTTGGCCTCGTTGCTTTGTTTTAAGCCCCTTTCGCTCTTATGCAATAAGGGTGCATTTAGTACAATCGAGGTGACAGAAGAAAGATCATTTTTCCACATTTGGCAGGATTTTCATGTGAAACAAACTAGAACAAAGTGGAACAAGCGTGTTCCATCCCACCTCATCGAACAAGGTGGAACAGACTTATGTTTTATCAATATAACCTCAAAATAAAACTTAATTCTCTTCTAAAACATCAAATGCGTCTTCCACTCTATATTTTATTCATTCTTTAAATTTTATTTATTGTATTTTATGTTTTTTAAATTTTCATTTTACTATCCTCAGAATATAATTTTTATACGGTTTCTATATTTGGTTAATTTATTAAATATTAACAATAAAAATTAATATAGAAAAGGTATAAAATAAAATTTGGAAACTACATAGACTTTTTATTTTAGTGCCATTTTAATTGTCTTGATGAAACCTTCTAATAATATATTTTGTTATAATTTAATATATTACATAATTAATCAAAATATATAAACTACTCATTAGAGGTAAATTGACCATTTTATTTGTTATGTCTTGTCTGTCCTCTCCTCTCATGTCCTCTTATCTCCTCCTATGGCATGTCTGGATATCAAACACACTCTAAAAAGACATAACAAGGGGAGTAAAATACGACTTTCATCCCTGAGGTTTGATGTTTATAACTATTTTTGTCTCTAGTTTTCAAAAACTGCTTTTATCGTCCTTGTGGTTTCATTTCGTTTCATTTTTCTTCACTAGGACTAATTTCATTAAGTTTCAAAGGTCATTTTAGTCTCTTTTATTAACTAATTTCTATCAAAAATGTAATAATAATAATAATAATACATTATACTATGTCAATACATATCCCCTTGCCCTAGAAAACCCGTCCTCATCCCTTCCCTACGGCAACCCTCCCATTCTTCTCCGGCACCATGAATATGCTATCATCACCATCCTCGCCGCTTGGTAATTCATTGTTATACGATTAACCTCCATTTATGCTTTCATCACCATCTCCATTGGTTGATTTTTTTAAACAATCTCCTGTATCAAGAAAACTTGGAACGCCTTGGTGTTCTCACCCAAATCTAAACCAGTATATATTTGGAAATGATAATATGTTTAGAGTTGCAAAATGCCATTTTTGATATAAAAAAATACCCATCTTTACTTGCATGTCTTTGTCAAATGTCATCTTGGAGGACAACCAAATGCTCTGCAGATTCCTGGTCCATCACCGCCCCGTTTGACAATGGGTCTCTTGTTCCCCCGATTGTGGTCATTGGTTTTGTTTATGAGTTTATCCATATATGTTTTCATGTTTGTTTTATCAAGATTTATTTCTTCTATCGTAGGTAATTAGTGTTTATTGTATCAATTATCTCCAAAAATAGGAGATCTCTTTGTATCATTATATATTGATTATTGTGAATGAGAAAAGGCAGGGATTATCATACTTCTACATGGTATCAAAGCTAAAGATCCTCCTACCTATCTCTCCCTTTTTTTTTTCGAAAACCTCCTGCCACCTAGAAACCCTTGCCGCCGCCTCTTCTTCTTTGTCAGCCACCACCTTCGAACCTTCCTTTCAATGGCCGATCACAAGTTTCACCCTGATGTCGCAGTTTCCAACATCCGAACCTTCATCCCTATCACCTTAGACAATGAAGCCGCCGATTATAACACATGGTCGGAACTATTTCGAATCCATTGTACGGCGTTTCTTGTGGCTAACCACCTTGAGCCTCGTCGTCCCTCACCCACTGCTGCGTCGCCCACTGATAAGGAAAAGCAATCGGCTTCCCCTCCTGCCGACTCGTGGGAACGTTTTGATGCCATAGTTCTCCAATGGATATATGGCACAATCTCCACCGGCCTTCTAAAAACTGTAATACAAAAGAGCACCACCGCATATGATGCTTGGAAAGCCATCGAGAATCTCTTCGAAGACAATAAAGCCACCCGAGCCCTCTTTCTCAAGCAGAAATTCGCAAACACTCGTCTTGAAAATTTTTCTTCCATGCATGAATATTGCCAAGAGATCAAGGTTTTGGCCGATCAATTGAATAATGTTGATGCCCCGGTTGACGAACAAGATCTCGTTTTGCAAACCATAGCCGGTCTCACCGAAGAATACGAGACCGTAGGCACCATACTCCAAAACACCAAACCTTCGCCCTCGTTCTTTGAGGTCCGTTCCCAGTTATGCATGAATGAAACTACAAAAGCTAACCAAGCCCTCCACTCTGCCCAAMAAGCCRCAACCGCTCTACACGTCCGAAGCCAAACCCGCTCCTCTTCGGCAAATCACAACACCACCGCTTCTCAAACCACATCCGACACTACCCGCGGCCGAGGCYGTTCYYGTGGACGCGGCAGAGGCCGATCAACGTCTTCTCAGCCGAACCGTTCCAGGGGACAKCCCAATTATCCGGCCCAATCCCAACACCCCTACATAATATTTCCCCACAATTGGGCCACTACCCAATGGGCCTCTCTTCTCAACAATACCTACAGCCCACAATCCAACCAAACACCACCCTGCCCTTACCCATCAACCCCTCGGCCGAATGGTTCACAGGGCATTCTGGGCCCACGGCCTGCTCAGGCCCACATGGCTACTTACAGCCCGACGCCGACCGACATTGCACAGGCGCTCTATACTCTCTCTATGAGTCAGCCTTCTGATCTAGTTGGTTACATGGACACCGGCGCCTCTGGCCACATGGAGCAACCAGGTATGCATTCCCCGTCTATTTTTAATACTTGCACTAATAAGCAAATAATTGTTAGCAATGGCACAACCATTCCCGTAATTGGACAAGGCAACAAAACATTACCACCGCCTTTTCCGCCCTTCAAACTAAATAATATCCTTTATGCTCCTAACCTCATCAAAAACCTCATCTTTGTCCGTCGCCTAACGACAGACAACTTACTTTCCATTGAATTTGACCCGTTTGGTTTTCTTGTAAAGGATCTCAAGACCAAGGAACCTATCCTACGCTGCAATAGCTCGGGAGACCTCTACCCTCTGACCACCAACTTCATCAAGCCTCTCTCCAAACCTGCTGCTCTAGCTGCTATTATTCACGACCGTTGGCATCAACGCCTTGGGCACCCGGGCACCTCTTTATTGCATTCGTTAAAGTCTAGTTTGTTTATTGATTTTCGTAAACCGAACACTACACTTTGTCAATCCTGTATTTTTGGCAAAAGTGTTAAACTTCCGTTTTATGCTTCTATGAATAAAACTCATTTACCCTTTGATATCATTCACAGTGATTTGTGGACCTCCCCGGTTTTAAGTACTGGCGGTCATCGCTATTATATATTGTTTCTTGATGATTTAACGGATTTTCTATGGACTTATCCCCTAACCAATAAATCTCACGTTTACAACACCTTTACCAACTTCCATAACCATATTCATACACAGTTTGAACGAAAAATTAAACAGTTCCAATGTGATAATGGCACCGAATACACCAACAATAATTTTAAGCAGTTTTGTCACATCCATGGAATGCAATTTCATTTCTCCTGTCCCCACACCTCCTCCCAGAATGGCAAAGCCGAGAGAAAAATATGAACTATCAATAACATGATTCGTACCCTTTTATCTCAAGCCTCTTTACCTCCCTCATTTTGGCATCATGCTCTTGAAACCGCCACCTACCTCCTAAACATTCTCCCTAAGAAAACCCACAAATTCTTATCCCCCACTACCCTTCTATACAATGTCCTCCCAACCTACACACATCTTCGCGTGTTTGGTTGCCTATGCTATCCCACCACCCCATCCACCACCATAAATAAACTCACCAACCGCTCCAAACCTTGTGTCTTTCTTGGTTACCCTTCACACCATCGCGGATATAAATGTTTTGACATTTCTAATAATCAAATCTTTATATCTCGTCATGTCCAGTTTGAGGAATCCATTTACCCCTTCTCCATACAACACTCCAATACCACCCTAGACTACACCTTTCTTTCCCCTCCATTTAACCCACTGTTGTGGGATAATGTCCACTCATCACAACCCACTGTCCCACCCCACGCCCCACATCCCACTTCCCTCGGCCCAACTCCAGCCGGCCCTACCGCATCACACCAACCTTCACCATCTCCTCCCCAACCATCAGGCCCACGTCCAGCTTCCCCTGGCCCAACCAATTTTCCACCTTCTGCCCACCCTTCGGACCCAGCACCGAACACTCAGACTCCACCTCAACCGTCACCTCAACCCACCCCTCCCCACTCGGTTCCACAACAACCGCCCCGTACCATGCGCACTAGAGCAATGGACGGTATCACCAAACCCAAACAACTATTCAACCTTAACACTACTTCCATAGTTCCACTCCCAAAAACTCCCCACCTTGCCTTGTCCACTCTTGAATGGTACGATGCCATGCAAAACAAATTTAGTGCACTTATTAAAAATGAGACTTGGGAACTAGTACCACGTCGCTCGGACATGAATATTATTCGTAGTATGTGGCTTTTTAAGCACAAATTTCGTTCCGATGGCTCTTTAGAACGTTACAAAGCAAGGTTGATATGTGATGGTCGTAGTTGTTGGTCCCAAAAGGGTCTACAAGAATACTAAACAGTTTGTAGAAGGGGGGGATGAATACAAACACAATTTTCAAATTTAAAATATATATTGATAAA